AATGTTCTTCCAGCCAGTTTTTCCCGTAATAGTCCATGCATCCTTCCGATGTTCAGATGGCTTTCATGCATAACTTTCCTGCAAATTTTGAGCTGATCACTCTTTCCCTGACAAAGCTAGTGGTTCTTGATCTATCAAGGAGTAAAATTACAGAAAAATGGAGTGGATGGAGCCACATCAAGGTAGGAGCCTAGGAGGCGTTTCAAAATAATTTCTATGGTCTTTTTTAACTTTGTTAATGGGATTGAAATATTGCGTATGTTCTCCCTTACAGGTGGCAAAGAATTTAAAGGTTCTAAATTTGACTGGATGCAAAAACTTAAAAGGAACGCCCAATTTCTCATCTCTTGTATATTTAGAGAGACTAGTTCTTGAAGGATGTCAGAAATTGGTCCATATTGATGGATCTATCGGTAAACTAAAGCAGTTAGTTTTCTTAAACTTGAATTCCTGCGTTAAACTCAGCATGTTGCCTGATGAGCTTGGGAAACTAGAAGCTTTAACAGAAATTCTTGTGGATGGCACATCAATAAAGGAAATTCCCAAATGGAAAGGAATGAAGAAACTAGAAATTCTCAGTGCTCGTAATTGTAAATATTTGAATAATTGTAGTTCCATTGGGAACTTGCGACCACTAGTCGAGTTGGATCTGTCCCACTCACCTATTCAAATGCTACCTTCTTCATTAGGGAACATGAAGAATTTGAAAGTATTGAGAATACGTTGTAGTCTCTTAAGAGAACTACCCAGTGCCATTGGACTGTTGGATAAGCTTAAAGAGTTAGATGCCGACTGCTGTGGATATTTGGAAGGGCAAATTCCGAGCAGTATCGGGAGATTAAAGTTTCTAAGGGTCTTGAGACTGACATACACTAATGTTTCCGGATTCCCTAAGCTTCCTGAAAGTCTGACTAGTCTGCGCTTTGGCTCTTGGTCAATGAAGACATTGCCAGATCTCTCAAACCTGTTGAACTTAAGAGATTTGCGTTTGCTTTTGTGGAGTTCTATAATGGACCCTTTGGAACTTGAGAAAGCTTCCAGTCGTTGGAGGATTGGAACTTTACACAAGCTAGAGTCCATATTTCTGGAATCTCCTTACGTGACCATCCTATCTTCAGACCTCATTCTCCTTTCTCAACTCAAGGAGCTTGACCTCCGGTGCCAGAACCTCAAATCCCTCCAGTGGGTTCCTGCAAGTTTGTTGCGCTTAGTTATCAAAGGTTGTTGGGAAATGAAGACATCAATAAACCTTTCAAACTCGAGGGCCCTAGCAGATTTGGAAGTGGTCAGTTGTGAAATACAAGGGATTCGAGGTCTCGAAGGCTTGGAGAACCTGAGATCATTGAAGCTGGTTGCAGTTCCATCACTGGAGAAATTGCCTGACCTCACTACCTTAAAAAAGCTCATGAAACTTGAACTGCGTAATTGTCCTAAACTGGTTGAGATTGAAGGCAGACTAGAATCTTTGAAGATACTTCGTATTGAGTCCTGCAGATATCTGGAAAAGTTACCTGTTCCATCAAGCTTAGAAAGGCTCGAATATTTGGGGATAATTAAGTGCGAGAAGCTAAAAGATTTGCTGGGATCTGATGATTGGAGGACTTTGAGGACGCGACTTAAGTCTGAACCAGACAAGTAAATATGTCAAGTCACGGAATCAAAACTAGTTGGAGTTGGGAGGTAAAGAGAAACGGTTTTCTATGGTTTGAGTTGAACTAGCATATTGATTAATAAAGATGTAATGATTACTGGTTTAAATTTCATGATGTATCATTCGGTTTTGAAATCTCTCTCTCTCTCTCTCTCTCTCTCTCTCTCTCTCTCTCTCTCTCTCTCTCTCTCTCTCTCTCATGTTCTTCTTCTTAATTCTCCAGTCTGTCCATGGTCGAAACTGGCACTTTTAGAAAGAGAGAATCAATTTAATTCACATAATGATCCTTTCCCTTGTTTTCATGGCCAAGTTCAAATTTAAGGACAACTGGTTGTCTAATTGTCAATGAAGATTGGTTTCTATTACTTATAATGTGATGGCTACTCTGCTCGCCACAGTTCCTCAATTTCTTATGTAACACGGTTGTCCATATGAAAACACTATCATTATCATTATGGTAGTCTCGCTGTTCAGATATTAGTATGTCTTGCTGTTCATCAGAGTACATAGAAAGGGGAAAAAAAGGTTTAGAATTAGATATTCTTAGATTAATTTAAGGGGTCTCGTTATCTAAAACTAATGACCTCGAAGTCAAAATGTTCCCTCAAAAAGAGATGCAACTTTGTGTGGATGATGTCAAAAGTGTTGAAAGAAATTCCTCGGAAGTGTTTGAATATTCTAAGGAGTGAGATTATGCAAGCTGTGAGCTGGGTTTAAGGCTTCTTGGGGATGGGAGAATCTATTAGATGGGTCTAAACATTAACCTGGGGTCATTAATTGTACCCTTTGGAAGGGAGGCAAGTGAATGGAGGCTTAAAGGTTCAGACAGTGATTGAGAAAAGTTGATTCTCTATGAGAGACGGTATTCAGAAAGATCTTAAAGCGATATCCTATTTGGAGTTGCCGGGTCAGTGTGACCATATTGGCCCATGCATGGAAGAGAGGCAGCAACTGTGAAGCCAGTGTATTATTGACCAAAACAGGTGAGACATGCAGAGCCTACCATTCAGAGCAGTCAAGAGTTTGGCTAGTCGTCTTTTTCACGTAAAAGAAGAAAATGCAGAGGATTTAATCCTGTGACATGAATGGAGTGTAAGTGAGTGGTGAGGGTGTTTGTACCAAGAAGATGAGTTTGGAAAGATGCCTTTTGTTTAACTAAATTTGCTTCTATCTGTTAGTACGAGCAAAAAAGTACATGTGCAGCTGGGCTTAGAATTGCAAAACTTGAAGCCGAGTTGCAATTTGGAGTAATGCAGACAGCTTTGGTTGAACAAGAAGATCTGCAAAAAAGAAACTGGGGCTAAAATGAATAAAACAACAGAGAATACGGATTGACTCTTAGGCACAAGTATTCAAGACGTCTATTTCTCCACGAACCTTCATGCAAAGGTAAAGGTTTAATAAAACTTTACAAAATGATGTTTTTTTTTTTTTTTTTTGAATATGAAGCATATCAAAACTAGGGAACCCCTGACTATAGAAGGGAATAGCACAATAAAGAACTTTTCAACCACTACTCTACGCCCGCTAAAAATGAAAGTATTTTAGGTAAATGAGTCTTCTTTGCTGAACAAAAGAAAGTAATCAGACATAATTTGTCCCCCCCTCCTTTTTGTTCATAATTTTTGGATCTGATAGGAATAGTAGTCTTCATGAATGATATGAAAGAATAACTGTTTCTGTCAATACAAGAAAGAAGTGTGAATTTCTTATCTTATACCAAAGACAAGATTAAGATGGAGGATAATCCTTTTCTCTATTCTCTAAAGCGAGATAAGAATTTGCTACATTGCTTTTCTGGTGTTGACAAACGAAAGGAATTCACTTTGCCTTCTCCTTCTGTCAAATGGGATAATATATGCAGGCGATGCTCAAGAATGGTTTTGTCCATTGTTTCTTATCTTGCTCTCTTGGTTTTGCTGCGACTCAACGCAACCAAATTTGGTGTTTGATCTTCACCAGTTCCTCTCTGGTAATTTTTTGTTGGTCCTATTTTGTGTGCAGTGGATCTATTAAGATCAAATAGTTCTTTTACCAATGATTGAATTCACGCAGTTGAGAAGATAGCTCAAGGTAACTCTTAAATTAGTTAAAGTGGAGTTATGTGATTTCATTTGGCTGACGAGATTTAGTTGTAGCGTGACGTTAGTCTCTTCTGAGTTGGTACAAGGCGATTCAAGAAGATGAAATTAAGAACGGAAATGGAGAGATGAGATAATAGCATAGTTGGAGAACTTTAACACAAGTGAGACAAGAAAAACTTTGAATCAATTCACTTTACTCAAAACTTCAGTACACCAATTACTCTGCCTTTCTATTAATAACACGAAAAATCCAAACTGGTAAACATATGACCAACGGAAGAGTAGAACCCCAAACCAATCAATCCTTCAACTGCTACGTGTCATCTAACTCAGCAATTTAATGGTAAAATTTAACAGAAACTAACGGAGGGTAAATTTATCACAAGTGTACCAGTTTGGGGTTTTTTCATGGTCAAAAAATTAGTTTGGAGTAAATTTATCACAAATATACTAGTTTGGGGTTTTTCGTGATATTAACCCAAACTTTTTTGAAGCTTTTACACCTCTCTGGCCGAATGCAACTTTTGGAGGCTGAAGCCTAACTGTTGTCCTATAAATTTACTGTGAATGAGTTCTAACATAATCCATCTCAAACAATTAATATGCATGAGTTCTATATTTGTAGGTTTAGTTTACGTAATAATTAAACGGTCCTGGGGCCACACCTACAAAAGAAGGGTTTCATCATCATTACAAGATTATCAATTAATATAATCAATTAGTTTCTAAACTAAAAGGGTTAATACCACGAAAAATTCTAAATATATATATCTGTGACAAATTTACCCTAAATTATTTTTTTACCACCAGAAATCCTAAAGTAGTACATCTATGACAAATTTACCCTCTGTTAGTTTTCGTTAAATTTTACTGTCAAATTTCTAAGTTGTATGACACATGACAATTGATGAGTGTATCGGTTTAGGGTTTTACCCTCCGTTTATCATAGGCGTACTGATTTATAATTTTTTGTGGTATTAATTCAATTTAACAGAATATAAATTTGTCATAAATATACTAGTTTATGATTTTTGATGATCAAAAAATTAATTTAGGGTAAATTTATCATTAATGTACTGATTTTGAATTTTTTGTGATTAAAAAATTAATTTAGAATAAATTTATAATAGATGTATCGGTTTAAGATTTTTCGCTGTATTCACCCAAACTGATAACGTACATGAAGATCTCGTCTTCTTGAACTCTGGCCTTTTGTGCCAAAGAATCTTTGGACGTCGAGGAAATTTCAACCTAACTGAACTCGAATACCTCAAAAGTCAAAAAGAAAACGTGTATCCACTCATTCACGCGTATCTAGCAAGTCCTCACCTTCCTGGAAGAGCATGGCGAGCGACGGTGAGCAGACTATCTAGCGCAAAGCCTTTCTTCAGCTGAGCTCAAAGCCAAGAACGTTTCATTCTGGGGATCTTCATCTGCTTCTCAGCGTTTGATCCGTACTCTTCATCTTCACACCTCCATCTCCGGTAATTTCCTCTCATATATTGCCTTGTTTCATTAATTTGATGAAAAAATAGAGGGACTCTCTGATCAGTATCAGTTCTCTCCATAGTTGACTCCATGATTGATCACTGCAATTTGTATCTAACACTAACAGTTTCAGCCTAACTCTAGTCACATGCTAAACCCTGCTCATCTGCTTTCATCTATGCATCAGTCAGGCCTCAGATCTTGAAACACAATTCCACTCCTATGCATCAGCTGGTTGATAAATCTCAGAGACTTATGTAATTTGGGACCGAGTTTACACTCTTTAGGAACTGGCCGGCTCTTAAAGCTGAATTAGTTTGAATTGGGATCAGTTGATTTCATTTGTTTAACAGTAGAGACAAATTAGTACATTATTGTCTGGTGATTAGCAGTAAGAACGCTCGTAGACAGAAAATCGATACCTTCTACTCTGTATTTAACAGAAGAGACAGACTGAAGAGACTGTAATGTTGCACTCAGTGGTGAACCGGAACGCTCCGCTTCCATTACATGCAGCTCTCATCCCTTCACTCCTGTCTGTTTTAACTTATTTACTGGGAAAACAGTTATAGCATCCATGCTTCTTTTTTTCTGTTGAATTTTTATTAACTCCATAAGTGATTAGTAATCTGCTCCTCTTTTTCTGATATGCTAATACTGTCTGCAGATGTGAATCATAGCCCCATTAACCCTGTATCTGTTTGTTGATAACCTAAGAGATGGCTGTAATTAGGGATCGGTTTATGCTTTTTAGAACTAGTCCGACGTTCGTTGGAGGTTGAATTAGCTGCAGTGTAATTTCTTGATTTCATTTTACTAATAAGATAGTCATAGGGGAATGTGATTCTTTGCCTGCGTCCATTAAGGTCAGTGAGCAACTGATATAGTGTTGTGGAATGTTTTTATCAAATCGATATTTGGTAAAACTAAAAGAGGCGGTTTCAGCATAACTTCTTATGAGATAATAAGATAATTAGTCAACCTACAAGCCACAGCAGGTGCTTATGTGCAGCGGACATTCAACGTTACCTTTTAAGAACAATTTTATCTCATAAGTAAAAAGTTTAAGAGAAAAACAGGTCAACAGTAATTTATCTTCTCAAAATATTCCCTTTTCCAATCAATTTCATGTGTGAACTAAAACCCATAATTTCACAATGAGTTGGAGATTTCTTCCTTTAGTATTGAGATGGGTCAACTTCTCTACTATATTGTTAATAAAGTAATTAGACATATTTTGGTGTCCAGGGCAATGCCAGAAGGAGCTCCTGCATTTGTCATCGAGCTTTCTTTCTAGAATGACTTAAAACAGAAGTTTCTGAGAGAAATCATTACAATCATCACTCCACTTTCATAGTAAACGTTTTTAAGGTGGGATATCTAGTCGTTGCAAGTCCTCCGAAAATTCAGGAAATGGCGAAGCCATTGGAACCTTATTATGAAGTATTCTTGAGCTTTAGAGGACCGGATACTCGCCGCGACATCACTGATTACCTTTACCACAGCCTCATTGATGCCGGAATACGAGCATTTAGAGATAATGAAGAGCTTCGTGTTGGGGAAGAGATTGGCCCGGAGCTTCTCCAAGCGATTAAGCAGTCGAAAATCTCGATTCCTATCTTTTCTAAAGAATATGCTGCCAGTAAATGGTGCCTCATGGAGTTGGTCCAGATGGTGGAGTGCAAGGAAAAGTGGGGACAGAAGATCATGCCAATTTTCTATGACGTTGCACCATCCGAGGTTCGTTACCAAACCGCAAGTTACGGTGAGGCCATTAATTCACACATAAATAAGCAGCGGTACCCTAATGAGACTATTGAGAACTGGAAGGCAGCTCTCAACAAGGTTGGAGCGTTAAAAGGATGGGAACTCAAGGAGAGGTACTTCAATTTATTATTGTGCATGATTAGTATGTACCTTAGATATTATTCTGTTCATCTCGATTTAACAGTTTGGTTCTTTTGCCTTCAAAACTATCAGAGGCAAAGGCGAGTTCACGAAAGAAGTTGTTCAGAAGCTTTTGATCGAGTTGAAAAAGAACTACTTGGCATTATCTAATTGCTTGGTTGAGATGGACGATCAAGTGGAAAAAATCATGGACAGGATAGGTGAACAGACCTCTGAAACAAAGATTATTGGTATCTATGGTATGGGTGGTGTCGGAAAGACAACTCTTGCCACAATTGTCTATAATAAACTGTTGGCTAATTTTGATAACCATTGCTTCCTGTCTAACATTCGAGATACAAAGATTGAGAGTTTGCAGAATCAGCTCATCTCTGATGTCCTAAGGACGAAATGCGTGTCCATCACTAATATTAATGAGGGAATTACTGAGATCAAGGAGAGGTTATCGTCTAAAAAGGTCATACTTGTACTTGATGATGTAAACCAAAAGACTCAGCTGGATGCTCTTGTTGGGGTGGGTGAACGCCGGTTCGGCAGAGGAAGTAAGGTTATTATTACAACAAGAGACAAGGAACTTCTAAAAGATGTTGATTTTCAGCTTGAACTTACTGAAATGGATTTTGATCATTCTCTTCAACTGTTTAGCAGACATGCCTTTAGAAGAGATCATCCTCCAGCAGAAGACGTTCCCCTCTCAAAAAAAGCGGTAAAAATATGCGGTGGTCTCCCTTTGGCTCTTGAGGTGATAGGTTCATTTTTAAATGGAAAAGTCAGGAGAATTTGGGAGACCACGTTAAAGAAGCTGGAAACTATTCCCAATAAAGAGGTTAAAAGTAAGTTGAACATCAGTTTCGAGGCATTAGAACGTCAAGAGAAGGAAATATTTCTCGATGTTTGTTGCTTCTTTGTGGGGTTTGATGTGAGAATTGTGCTTCACATGTGGGACAGCTGTGACTTTGTCCCTGAAAATTCTCTTGAAGTCCTCAAACAGATGTCGTTAATAAAGATTGCAGAAGGTAACCGACTGTGGGTGCATGATCAGCTAATAGACCTTGGGCAAGATATTGTTCGTGGAGGAGCTAGGTTTAAACTGGAGATGCAAAGTCGGGTGTGGGATCATGAGCAAGCAAGTGCTGTTCTCATAGCAAAGGTAAAGTGTGTGCAATGTTATTCCTATTCAAGGGGACGAGTTATACACGTCGACTTTGCCTATTTGCTTCTATCTGAACCAAGTCATTACTTGTCTGCTTACCATGATTTCATGCTCGTCTGTAAATCATATTATAAATCAATTTGAAAGTATAAATAAAATGTACATTCCTGAAGTATGTTCAACTCGAACCTTGGACAGGCAATTAAGTGATCACTAGCTTCTGTTTCCTTTTTTTGCTTTGGCAGGGTACAGAAAACGTTGAAGCAATATGCCTCAAGTTTGATCATCAATTTCAACACTTCATTGAGAAGAAAGAATCTGAAAGCCTATCAAATTTAAGATTTCTTCAAGTGGATTGTGTAGACTTGGATGAGAACAACTTTCAGCGTTTTCCTTCGACCAACTGGTTCCAGAGGAATCTATGCATCTTCTTTCCGAAGTTGAGATTTCTCTCATGGCACAAGTTTCCTCTCTTTTTCCAATTGACCGCGTTTTCCCTTATGAAGCTAGTGATTCTTGATCTATCACGGAGTGAAATTACAAATGATTGGGAGGGATGGAACCACCTCAAGGTATGGTATTATTTCAACATGAATTTGCTATATTAACTTTGTTGTCCTGTATCTCAAAATGATCCAGAATTGACCGTTTCTCTTCATTACAGATGGCAACGAATTTGAAGGTTCTAAATTTGACTGAATGCAGAAACTTGTGTAGAACTCCTGACTTTTCTGCTCATGAAAATTTAGAGCAACTGATTCTTCAAGGGTGCTGGAGACTGGTTCAAGTTGATAAGTCTATTGGTAAGTTAAAGCATTTAGTGTTCTTAAACTTGGAAGGTTGTTTTGAGCTGTGGACATTGCCTGACGAGATGGGGGAACTGGAAGCCTTAACAGAACTAATTGTTGATGGGACCTCTATTACCAAAATTCCCGAATGGAAAGGAATGAAGAAATTGGAAACTCTCAGTGCAGTTAATTGTAGATCACTGAGTATATGCAATTTTGCTGGTTGCTTAACATCGCTATTAAATCTTAGGTTGGAAAATACACAAATTACTGAACTTCCATTTGGAAATTTTGCATCTCTCGTCGAGTTGGATCTTTGTAGATCGGGAATTCAAGAATTACCCAATTCAATAGGGACAATGAAGAATTTGAGAGTACTAAGGATGTCTTGCACCAGCTTAAGAAAGCTACCTGGCAGCCTTGGAATGTTGGAGAAGCTTGAAGAGATAGATGCTGATGGCTGTGACGATTTGGAGGAACTTCCAAGTGAGATTGGAAGACTGTCATTTCTAAGGATCTTGAGATTATCAGATACGAATATTTCCGAAGTTCCTAAGCTTCCTGAAAGTTTGACCAATCTATTCCTAACAACTAGAGCTCCAAGCCTCCAGTGGATCTCAAGGTTAAGAAAGCTAGAGTCCTTGGAGCTGTTTTGTTATGGGAGTGCTTCCCAACTACCTTCAGATTTTAATCTCCTTTCTAAGCTCAGGGAGCTGGTGCTCAAAGTAGATAACCTAGAATGCCTACCTAGGCTTCCCCAGAATTTGTCACGCCTCCGTATTTATGGGCGCAGGACAATGGAAAAGTCGATAGATCTTTCATATTTGGAAAAGCTATCAGAATTGAGTATCTGGATTTGGGAACAGCTAATAGAGATTCAAGGCCTCGAACGTTTGAAAAACCTGAAACAGCTTCAACTTTGGAATCTTCCATCGCTGGTGAAGTTGCCTGACCTGACCGGCTCAAAGAAGCTCAGGGTGCTTCAGATAGAAAAGTGTCCTATGCTGGTTGAGGTTCGAGGTCAGCTAGAATCGTTGGAGACGCTTTCGATAATCTCCTGTGAATCTCTCGAAAAATATCCTGATTCATTCAGCGTGAAGGATATCGATATACGACACTGTTGGAAGCTAAAAGAGATTCAAGGCGCGGAAGATTTGAAGAACCTGCGTCGCTTGGCTCTGTTAAATCTTCCGTTGCTAGAGAAGTTGCCCGACCTGACCAACTCCACGAAGCTCATGGACCTTTATGTAGATGATTGTCCTCGTGTGGTTGAAATTCCAGGTAGGCTAGAATCATTGGTGGCGCTTCGTATTCTTTACTGCGAGTCCCTGCAAAAGTTATCTCATCCGTCAAGCTTCAAGGGGCTAAAGCTTTTGCAAATGCAAGACTGTGAAAAGTTCAAGGAGACTCTGGAATCCGACGAGTACACAGATTTGAAAAGAGTGACGGTGCCCTTCATATAAATCGGAAGATTGAGTGCATCATTTAATTGCCACGTGTGCAGGTGGGACCCATTCTTCAGATTTTTCGACTTCCTTCTCTTCTCCTTCTTTTTTCTCATCTTCTCCAGTTGCGCTCTCTCTCTCTTTCTCTCTCTCTCTCTCTCTGGCTCTGGTCTCTCACTTTCTATTCTTCTTCTTCTTCCTCCATCATCAGCGACGACCCGAGCGAAAAATCTCGCCGAGAACCAGCAGCGACGGACTCCGACCGGCGAGGGAACGCGACGGCGGCCCCGAGCGGAAGCACGAGATGCGACTCCACCTGGCGGAGATCTCCCTCCGGGACCCCGACCCACGTCTTCCTGCCCGTCCATCTGTTCCGCGAGGGGTTGAAAAGATTGTCTAAGAAGTTTTCCTTTTTGCATTTTGGGTTGCAGCTGCGCTGACTGAAGCCAAGAAGGGTTCTTCCTTCTTCGCTGCATCTTTATTTGGTTTTCTGCATTTCATTCAGACTCGGTGGCTGTCTAATATGATTTTCTTCATCTTCACCCATTCCTTTTCTGGTGATTTCTCTCTACCTTGTTTCAGTCATAACCTTATCATTTATATATATGCAATGAAAACAGCCTTTCAATGAACTGTCTCGTATGCATCAGTTCACTTCTGCACCAATTAGGGGATCGATATGGGCTCTTTAGGAACTAGTCCAAACCTTACAGGTGGAGTAGTTTGACGGGGATAAGTAGATTTCATTAATCTTATGCAATATAGTCGACTGGGACTCGATTCTTCTTCTGAGCTTATCAAGGTCTAGCTAAAACCAAAATATTGTCCTTGAAGGCATGAAACCTTACTATAATCGATTGGTTCTGCAATTTCTTTCTTCTTTTCTTGGTTTGTTCCGGTCCTTCTTCTTCTAAAGTTTTAGCGGGTGTACTTAGTGATTAATCTCTGTCATGGAAGAAATTCATCAAGGATTCAAGATGACTTGCTCCAGAATTCATTCGTAGATATTAATGTTCTCTGAGAATGAGTTTCATTCAGTGTCACGAAATTAATTAGACATCAGCAACCCTATTCATGGAATTGTTGCTGATTTCCCATGAAAATTTCCACATTGAAGAAATGAAGAAGTAGGGGCAAAACATTGTGTCTAGCATAAACATAATGCTCCCTGGTTAATGATCATGTGCAATGGTCACAAAGGTTCTTTAGTTTTGATAACTTAAAACAGATTTCTACAGTCGTTTCTGAGTGAATTCATGACTGCGTTTCAAGTTTCACCATTTGAAATTTTTGGGTGGGATTGCCAGAAAAATTGGAATTGTTGGGTAAAAAAAAAATGACTGGTCACTTGGTTGTTAGGTCAAGCGGTAGTAAATTACCAAAACTATAAGAAATTTACCAATTCTCACTAAATTGGTAAATTACCAACTCTTCTCAAATTTTTCCTACGTCGTAAGTGAATTACTACATCAGAAATTTATTAGTATTTTAATGAAGTAGTAAATTATCAACTTATTTGAAATTTTATCATTGTCGTAAGTAAATTAACAACACTACTTCTGAACGCGGCATACAACTCTCCATTGTACTGGGCTCTCCAAGTGTGCTTGTCCCTACATTAAGTAGTTTACCAACTCCATTGAAATTCTACAAGTGTTCTTAGCAATATACCAACACTACAATTAATTTTTATGAGTACGTATATAAGACTCTAGGAAAATATAGATATTCTACCGTTCTCTATTGGGTTGAGAAGAAATAAAGTACAATGATTTATATATTACGACCTGTGTGGCCTGATGTGACTTGTATAGCATGTATGTGATATCATGAACTTGAGGTTCGGGATGGAAAAAAGAAAGAAAAAAGAATGGGTATGAATCTTAATGGGAATGAGTCTGGGATAGCCATTATCATGCGGTGGTACGGTAATATATTTATCATCGCTAGGGAACACTTGTGATGAATGGCTTGAAGTGTGGCAAATATGTATTTATGATTTTGTCTCCCATTAGTTAGTGGTGACGATACCTCGTAAGTTGAGTTAGTCGAGACGAGCTGTGGCTAGTGACAAGTATGGAATAAATATTTACTTGTGTATATTGATGAGCTACTGATATCTACGCGTCATGAGATTGGTTTGTTCCATGCTATGTATTTGAGTGTTAAATTGAATGTCATACATTGCATCTATTTTGTTCATTGCACAGATAATTATAGTCATTTTTATACAATGCACGGATTACATTATCTTAGGTGAATATTGGTTTTCCTATTGAAAATAATATATGACCTTACTCGCCAATTGTCACTATACTATTGTGTTCTCGAGTCGAGTGGTGAGTAGGCCTCCTATTTTGGACATAAAGCTCTCATTTACTGAGCTTAGACTCGCCCCTTTAAAATATTATACATATTGGTCGGCTTTGAAGTTTAGGGATATTTAGATTAGCGCTTCTACAAATCTTTTTTAAGGTGGATCTTCTGTATGAGGTTTTGATCACGTAAAGTAATAAAAAAATATATGTTCATTCATTTGTTGTTGAATTGCTTATTAATTCGATAATCAAATTGTGTGGAAAATTCAGGTTTTGACAATTTCGGGGATGCTTCTAAATTCATTGAAGCTCCAAGTCCTTGGTAACTCGGAAGGTTAGGCAAGCTGGGATCCTTGCGGTTGGAATCTCCTTATTTCACCTCCCCATCTTCAGACATCATTCTTCTTTCCCAGCTCAATGAACCTGAACTGGTCCCCACCAAGAAGCTGCAACGCCTACCTAGCCTTCCCCCAAATTTGTTGTACTTAAATATCGAATCATGCAGGGAAATAAAAACATCACTAGACCTTTCAAATTTGAAAGCGGTGTCAGATTTGGAAGTTTCTCTTTGCCCTAAAGTGAGAGAGTTCAGTGGCCTCCAAGTTTTGGAGAACCTGAGTGCCTTGAAGCTTGAAGGAGTTCCATCTTTTGGACAAGTTGCCTGACCTGACCAACTTGAAGAACATTCAGAAATTCTATTTGCAGTGATGTCCTAAAGTGGTCGAGATCCAAGGCAGACTAATATCGTTGGAGGCACTTTGGATAGGTTCCTTTAAATCTTTAGAAAAGTTACCGCATCCATCGAGCTTCAAGAAGCTAAAATCTTTTTATGTACACAAAGCATGAGAAGGTAGAAGATTCTCTGAGTTCTGATGATCAGTGGAGGACTTGAAAGAAGAGACTCAATCTGATCTTGCGGAATCCGACTTGTCTGGGTATTTTTCTTAGGAAACTTTTACTCTCTTGGATTTCAGAGTTTGGTTAATGGTAGAATCATTCTAGAATGTAAATGTTGGTTGCGTACCTGATTTCAGTGGTTGGCCGGCAACTCAAAACTCTATATGTTGCAAGCTCCCTATACTCATGTAATAATCGGAAAATGTAGTACTAACATTTCTTCTCTCAATTTTGTTACTATTGTATCCAAGCTAAGCTGCCAACACAGAAGGTTTTTTCATATTGCTTCTGCTGTGAATCATCTGTTCCCTCAGGTACAGACTGTCCATATTTCAGATATGAATTCTTCCTCTCCGCAATTCGTATTCTTTCCTATAGCAGTTGTGTGAGAGAGTAAAAGAGTAAACATTGATCGCAAATTTCCCAAGTGTAGTAAGAAACTAAAAAGTCCAAAGAACACAAACTTTCGAGGGATAAAGTGAACAGAAAATTCTATGACTGAACTTTCCGCTAGCTCTTTTTTCTATCTTAAATATAGTTTGTCTCAATTGATTGTATCTAAAAACTTCACCATGTGTACCACTCAGTACCTTCCAACATGGCAGCATCACGGCCGTCAATACTATAGCAGGCAAAATAATAGAAGCATCTCTATCGAATTGAGCTGATAGAAATTCCAGAATTGAAAGGAACACTAAACAATTTTGATGCCAGAGATTGTATACTAGTGTTTATGCTTGCAGGTTTGCCATCACTGGAGATGTTGTCCTAGATTGCTCCCATGGAGTCGTCCTAAACTGTTTGAGATTCAAGGCAGAGCAGAACAATTGGAGATGCGTCATATTGACTGGCTTGGAAAAGCTAGCCGACCTTACCAGTTTCAAGAAGCCAACATGTTTGATGATGAACAATTCTTAGAAGCTGAAAGATTGAGCTTGAGGTTGAGTAGTGATGTGGTAGTGCTGAGACCTGAATACTATTTGGAATTGGTCAGTAACTTCAACTAATGTACATTGATCTGCTTTTGTTACCGTTTGTGATTGCATGATGATTGAATCGGTCATTTTTTCATCTCTCCCTCTCTCTCAATTTCTACCGCACCTTTTTCCTACGTTGCCTTTTTCTCTAATCTTTAAAAGTAACTTCTGTTACTATCAATTTATAAAATAACTTCTACCACTTACTTCTATTAATTACTTATTAATGACGCTTAACGGCGATAATTTGTCACATTAGTCTAGCCACATCCATAACGCAACGACCATGTTTTCCTTGCTGACTAACGGACTAACAGAGGGGTACACGAAAGAATAAGTTCTAGCGTCTCTTTCATATGTTTTATATTTCGCAAAAAAAAATTAACATAAGTGTAACGTTGGAAGTTTTTTTTTGTACGGTAATTGGCCTAAAATTTACTAATTATTGTTAAAACACTATGTATTATAGCTACAGATATATACTGGACTCTGGAGAAGAGAATATATAGATATTAGTGAGAAGTTATTTTTCACATGATTAGTAAGATTTCATTTATGACATAACATGTTTTTATCAGTTAGTAACACCTCCACTTGGTTGATATCAAATCACTCCAAACAGTAAGTGTCAATGAACTAGGTACTTTTATTGGTAACTTTTCCGCAGTGATTAGAAGAAGATAAGTAATCATCAGTAGTTAGCCTTTATTCTATGTTTGCATAAGGATAAGTAGTCTTTAGTCTATTAGTCTTCCACTAGTCAGCAACTCTTCATAAATTTTTTTTACCTATATGTCAATAAGTTTAAGAAGGGATCTTTTCAACATGA